TTTTGTTATATTTATGCGAAGTTTTACTTAATACTACATGTCTCTTGCATTGCCTCACCTGAATCACATTGGTCACCTTCCCAACCACTCTGACATTGACAAGTGTATCCATTTATGTCGTCAACACATGTCCCACTATTATGGCAAGGGTCACTGAGACATTCATCTATTTCTGTTCAAAATAAAACATACAAAAATAATGCAAGCCACACATTTATTATAAATTTACAAAGAGTAATATGTTTTTGAACATCTCACCTGTTTCACAATTTATTCCCGAATATCCAGGTAAGCAGTTACATTCATAACCCGGTGACACGTCCCTGCAACTTGCACCATTTTGACATGGGCCACTAGAGCAGTAGTACCCTGTAATGATAATACTCTCATTGCACAAATACATTCCATACTAAGACATATTGAAAGTTAGGTTCAAATAGTTGTGCGAATATTTCTAAATATGGAGTTATCAAGGAATTATTTGCACAATCATGAATATTTCCATCAAATATAAAAAGTAAATGTCGTATAATGTCATGAAAAGAAGATTTTTCTGTAACAAACAGATACAGAACAACAAAAATAATAATTCTATCTCACCTGAATCACAATTTTCTCCTTCCCATCCATCTGAACATTCACACCGATATCCATCTACTTCATCAATACAGTTTCCTCCATTGTGACATGGGTCACTGTGACATTCATTTGTATCTGTGAATATAATTCAGTATTGAATCAATAATATTCTCACCTGACAAAACTTTGTTAATTTAAACAATTGACGATAATATTTCCAGCTCACCAGAATCACAATTGTCTCCTTCCCATCCATCTGAGCATTCACACCGATATCCATCTACTTCATCAATACAGGTTCCTCCATTGTGACATGGGTTACTGTGACATTCATCTGTATCTGTGAATATAATTCAGTATTGAATTAATAATATTCCCACCTGACAAAACTTTGTTAATTTAAACAATTGACGATAACATTTCCAGCTCACCAGAATCACAATTGTCTCCTTCATACCCATCTGCACATTCACACTGATATCCGTTCACTTCATCAAAGCAGGTTCCTCCATTTTGACATGGGTCACTCTGACATTCATCTGTATCTGAGATTAAA